CGCTCTCTACCCGACCCTCCTGGCCCCGAGGCCCGCGGCCGCCGCCGCCGCCACGGCCTTGCACCTCCACCCCCTGCTGCACCCCATTTTCTCAGGACAGGACTTGCAGCACCCACCCAGCCACGGCACATGAAGGACAGAACGAAGGAACCTCAGAGTTCTGGGAAGGGGACGGAGCTGATCCAGCGGGCGGGTGAGGCCTGAGCATTTCCTGTCACTCTTGAGCAGCCGAAGAAGCCGGAGGCTCAAGGGCTGGGCGGCAGCGTTGTCCATATCCACTCCCAGGGATGTCTCGCTCCCACACTTCCGTGCACGCAGCGGCACCGTTCCAAGAACCATTTCACCTGCAGACCAGCGAGACACTTGGAAAGGCTTTCTTTTTCCCCCCCTGGGTTCTTACACTTGGTCATCTTCCTTCTGCCGCCTTGTATATAATAAATGAGGTCTCATCCACACTAATAGGTCTCTCAAAATCCTTTTAATGAGGTCATCTAATTAAAATAGTCAGCATGATTGACCCCAGTGTGTAATTGGCGATGGAACATTCGGGAGCTGTCGGCTGCAGATCCCGGCGAGGAGGCCTCAGTTTTCAGGCCTTACTCACTGCACATGTGGGTTTTTTCTTGGTGTGAGCAGCAAAGGTGGAAGTAAGATCTTACTGTAAAGAGGAGAAGGAGCTGTGTGTGTGCCCAGAGCTCCCATCCTTCTCCATCCTGCATCCGTGTTCTCCTGCGCCAGGACCGCAGCTGCACATCCCGGACTGGAGAGAGCTGCTCCTTGGGGTTGGGAATTCCAGTCTGGGCTTTGACCACTCTTCTCCTGCAAGGGGGGGGGGGAAAGAAATCACTCTGACTTCCATCTTCTGTGGTGTTGGGAAAAAGGCACTGGGATGGGAGAGAGAAGGAAAATCCTGTTAGGAATTGAAGCAATACAGAGGACGAGGAGCGCGGCCGGGGGTGCGAAGCGTGTTCTTTCCTCTGTAACACTGATGGTTGTTTCCTTATTAATTTATAGGATTATTTTTTTTTTTTAATGTAAAGAATTGCACTGAACTCTGTAAACAAAGATGCTGCTTTTTGTAGCTCCTATCAAAGGTTACATTTGTAGTATATCGCAATAATATTTTTTACAGCCAGTTCTTAGTGGTACTTGTTCTGGTGGCTTCTGTGTAAATATGTTTGCTGTAGGTGACCCAAGACACTTGTAAAGGTTCAATTTATAGTTTCAGCTAGATGCAGAACGAACTAAGCATGTATATTTTATCAAGCTCATGTATTTTTGAAGTTTTTATGTACTATAAAATGTAAAAAAAAAAAAAAAAATAAAAAAAATCTTCATTTAGAATTTTGCAGAAGAAAAAAAAACACAACAGGTGAGACTTGGGCACAGTGAGGGGTGGGGGCAGTGGTGACTCCAGCAGGTGCTGCTCTCCTCCCTGCCATAGGAATGGGCACTGGAGCAGTGGGGAGCAGCAGGAATTCAGAGTGTCTCCCAGAGTATAGATATCCCTTTTTTTTCCCCCTTTCCTTTTCCTTTCCCCCTGTTTGAAGCAGTGATGTGCACAGGCTCCTGGTGCAGGAGAGCCTTGGGACCGTTCCCATCCCACACACAGGGTCACACTGAGCTGGGGCTGCCTGACTTATTCCACGAGGGGTTTCCCAGTTCTTCCCTGTGGGAGCTTCCCTGTCCCATCCCAGGGGATGGTTTGCTGACATGGACACTGCGGGTGCAGGTCCCCTCGTGTCACGGTGGTTGGGGCACCTCAGGGAGGCTCTGTAGGGTGGGATTTCAGAGCAGGCACCGAGGGGATGCAGTGGCACCCCTGTCCCCTTCTCCATCCTCATCCTCTTCCCTGTCCCCTCCTGGAGCGTGGAGTCAAAGGATCAAACCCCCCTGAGCCTCCTCACTGTGTGAACGAGAAATTGGAGCAGGTCAGAGTGACACAGGGGTCACAAAAAGGGACTCAATTTCCTGTAAATACCCAACAATTCAGTGTTACTGTCAGAGCTGAGCTTTGTAGGGCCCGGCCCCATCTCGGGGTTGTTTTTGGACTTCCAGGATAGCGCTAAAAATAATTAACCTGTCATTACTTAACGAGCATAAACAGACTGTATTTAACTTTGTCACATAAGATATATATATAAATATATATATATGCTGTAAAATGAGGGAAAAAAAACCTTTCTAATAAACCAATGATTTGTGGAAAAAAAAAATGTGGTGGTGTGTGATGGCATGGAGCTGCTGCATCAGGTGGCTTTCTCCTTAAATTATGGTAGGGGATGCTTGGGTCATACTTTTAATGGGAATATTTTGCTTGTAAGATAGAGAAAATGTCCATTCCTGTGTCATCTGACAGCAGCCAGAAGCCGAGGTGGGGAGGGCGGCAGCTCCTGCCCATGAGGATGGTGTTGCTTCTCCACACTCCTCCAGCAGCTCCTTGTGGTGTTGGGGGTCTGTCAGCCCTCGTGTCCCTTTTTTCCATCTCCCTCTTCAGCAGTTCCTGACCTGGGCTGCAGCCTTGTCCTGCAGTCGTGGAATTGTTCAGATTGGAAAAGCCCCCTGAGGTCATGGAGTCCAACCATCCCCCAGCACTGCCAAGGCCACCACTGACCATGTCCCCAAGTGCCACATCCACACAGCTTTTAAATCCCTCCAGGGGTGGGGACTCCACCTCTGCCCTGGGCAGCTGTGCCAGGCCTGGACAAACATTTTGGGGAAGAAATTTTCCCTAATATCCAACCTAAATCTCGCTTGAGCTCGTTTCCTCTCTTCCTGTCCCTTGTTCCCTGGGAGCAGAGCCCGACTCCCTTTCCTGTCAGGGAATTGCAGAGCCAGAAGGTCCCCCCTGAGCCTCCTTTTCTCCAGGCTGAGCCCCCCTAGCTCCCTCAGCTGCTCCTTAGGACTGTCCCCACCGTGGTCGAGGAACTTGGGGTTGCCCAGGTCATGCCATGGGATTTTGGGAGTTTTGCCCCCGGGGTCCCTCCAGCCCAGGCTGTGCTGCTGATCCAGCCTGGGCGAGCGTCAGAAGCCGTGAGAGCTCAGGAGGAGGAGCACCCACCTCTCCGTTCCTAGATAAAGTCCTGGTTTGGTTAAAGGAAAAAAATCCAAACCCCACTGAACACTGCCAGGGTGGGGGCACAGGGTGCCACCTGCCATTGCCTGTCTGTCCTCTGGGTGGCCCTGGGCCGGGGAGGCTGATGAGTGATGGTGCAGAAGAGCTGCAAGGAACAGGGAAATAAGTAATTCAACGGGAGGAGGAATCACAGTGGCCTTGAAGGAGCCTGGTGTGGGCTCCAGCTGGGTTTGGATGCTGCTGCCAGCGGGGGATTAGACCACCCGAGGAGGAGCAGCTGCCCCTGAGCCCAGTGTCCTGCTCTGCCAGGGCACAGAGCTGAGCCAGGCTCGGCTAAACCCTTCCCAACCCTCGGAGCTCTGCTCCAGCTGTTTTCCAACTGCAACTGCTCCGAAGGGCTGGAGCAGTCCAGGCTCTGGGGCTGTGTTCCCCTCAGGGGCCAAGGTGCTGTTTGGGCACTGTGGTGGCCTCCCTGTGTCCTCCAGGACCCCCTGACCCCTCCGTCCTGCTTCCCACCTGCAGCTTCAGAGATGGAAAGGAAGTTTCACAAATGGGGCTGCATCACAGGGAGATGCTCCGGGGCCTGTCCCTGCCACTGGCTCTGGGTGAGCATGAGGAGCCCTTGGAGCCCCGAGGCACCCTGAGGGTCCTTAATTAATTGAGTTTAAATTAATCGTGCTGGTGGGTTCAGGGGCTCAGCCACTGTCCAGGCAGGGCTGAGCCCCCCCTGGCTTGGCTGAGGGGCACCGGCTCCTCCACGGGGGACAGGAACCCCCCTTGTTCTCTTGGGTGTGGGCTGTGCCCCCACCTGGCACCCATCCCCTTCCCAGAGCCATTTCCCTGTGCTGCTCGTCCCCTTGGGAGGGTTTTGGGGTGTCCCTACCCTGGGGAAGGGGGGGAGACAGTTTGCGGGCAATGCCCGGTGCTGGTGGGGGCGGTGCTCTCTGCTCCATCCGGCTGCAGAGGGGACACCGGGGACGATGCAGGGGCCCCGTGCCCTGCTGTCCTCCCCCCTCCCCGCCGCGTTTCCGCAGGCCAGGGCTGCCTGCACCCCGAAATAACCCCCCGAGACAG